CAGATGAGCCCTAAATGTAAAATGTAAAACTAGAAAACTTCTAGATAAATACATACAAGAAAAACTTTGTAACCCTGAGTTAGGCAAAGATTTCTTAGATATAACATTAAATCATAATCCATAAAAAAAATGATAAATTGGGCTTTATCAAAAAAAAGAACTTCTGCTCTTCCAAAGACATGCCACAGACTGGGAGAAAATACTTGTAAATCACATAATCCAATACAGTAATGAAAGAAGGCAGATAAAAAAAGAGTACATACTAAATAATCCCATTTTATAAAATTCTAGAAAATGCAAAGTAATCTACAGTGACAGAAAGCAAACTAGTGGTTGCCTGGGGATGGGGGATAAAGGATTACAAAGGCGGACAAGGAAGCTTTTTGGGGTGATCGATATTTTCAGCATTGTGATTACAGAGATGGTTTTGATGCAGGAAAACAGATGTGGAGCATGAGAAGGGCTGTGTCCCAGGCTTCGGTTGAGCCCCTGGGATCTGCCCCGCCAAGTGTGGGTCCTTGGCTTCACGCAGGAAAGAATTCAAGAGCCACAGTTGAGTAAAGGTAGATTTATTCACAGAGATACATTGAAAGGCAAGTGAAAGGCCACGAGGCATGGGGGTTGGGTGCTCTGAATAAAAGTAGGTACACACTCCAAAGACAGAATGTGGGCCATCTCCAAAGAGGGAGGCCGGGGTGGCCACGAGGCACCATGTTGCTGGTTTTTATGGGCTTGGTGGCTTCATATGCTAATAAGTGGAGGGACCAGTCTAAGTAGCCTGGGGAAGGAGGTGGAATTCCCAGGAAGTTTGCCATTTCCCACTCTTTGACATTCTGTGGCTAGCCTTGGTACTGCCATGGTGCCTGTGGGCATGTTATTCATCATGTTAATATATTACAATGAGCATATAATGAAAAGCAAGATCTACTAGAAGTTAAATCTCTCACCATCCTGAGCCTCAATGCCTACTGGGGGTTGAATCTTTCACCATTTTGATGTTAATTGCTGTAGCATTCCTTGAATGGCTGTGCCCTGCCCCCTTTCTGTCTCAGTTTCACAGATAAATACTAACATAAAAACTTATTAAATTATTTACTTTATACATGTATGCATAAGTTATACTCCAATAAGGTTGTTTTTTATAAAAAAAATTATACCCTGAACCTGTGTTTGAGAATTAAAGAATGTATTAAAATCTACCAGGAGAGGGGGTAGGGTATAGCTCAATTGCCAGAGTGCCTGCTAAGCATGCATGAGATCCTGGGTTCAATCCTCAGTACCTCCATTAAAAACAAAATATAAGTAAATAAACCTAATTACCTCCCCCCTCAAACAACAAACAACCTCCCCCCTCAATAACAAAACAAAGAAACAATAAAACTAAAGTTTAAAAAAACATGTACCAGAAGAAAATATAAGCAATTAATTTATAATCTTAAAATAGAGATCATTCTAAACACAATATGAAAACTTGAAAACAAACAAAAAAAATATAGCAGTAAATAAAATTAAATTTTAAAATAAATTTCACTATCTAAACATATAAACCTCATATGTTAAAAGAATAAAATTAATTAATCAAAATTACTACGCTAACAAACCATTTAGAAATGCAAATTTTAAAAAGAGATGGCATTTTTCACCTAACCATGTCAAAAATTTAAAAAGATTCAAACCCAGCTGCTACCCTGGGTATGAACCCTGATATTAGGCTTATAACCTGATACAATTATTCCAGAAGTAACTCTGGCATCTGAATAAAGTTTTCAAATGTGCATATCCTTTAACTCAGTCATTTGTCTTCAAGGAATTTCTCCAAAGAGAAACAGAAAAGTATAAAAAAGCTATTTACATGGCACCTGCAAGCAATAGAATATAATGTAATCATTAAAATATAAACTCATTGACAAGGAAAGATAACCATATATTTCAGTACCATGAAAGATTGTTATAATAGCATGCTATTTGTTATTACATTTAAGGAAAACTTTTGTGTAAAATCACTGGTATCATGGCGTATACTGAATGTCAGCTAATTTAAAATCTATTCTTAACCTCCTTTTCCCTAGCCCATCTACATTAGTTCTCAGCCCCCTTACCAGCTATAGAGGCCATGTGATGTTATTAACGGCTATTGAGACTTATACAGAAACCTCCTAAGAGCTATGGAAACATGCCTTCCTGATAAAAGTTAGTCATTTCTATAGCTAACTCCTTCCCCTATCTCCTGCCTTGAGGTTAGTTATGGTGACTTAGGCTGAAGCAGTTATCTCACTGCCACTGAACAAGCCAAATACACTAGAGAATGCACATTGCAAAGAAAGAAAAAACTGGGTGTTTGATAACATTCACAAATCACTATACCAGCTTCCAGGGCCCACTTCTGGACTTCTCTTTGAGACAAATATACATACACATATATTTATATACATTGCTTAACTCACATTTAGCCAGAAGCACTCCAGATAGTTATTTATATATACATATGTAAATAAATATTTTCTATATAGCCATCAAACATATTTAAAGCTTTTTATAATTATAATACCCTCTACTGGCCAGGATTTGCAGTACAAAACACCTCCATTCAAACACTGATGATAGGGTTAAATGATATGGCCCTTTAGGAAATCAATTTCACACTCAATTTCAAAAGCTTTAAAAATATTCTTATCCTTTGTTTCACTTAGTAATTCCACTTTTAGATAGTCATCAAATAAATAATATAAGTTTAGGGAAGTATTGCCATAATATATTTACAACATTAATAAACTGAAAACAACATAAATGTCAAAAAATATAATGCTGGTCAAATGATTTTATAGTATAGATTTATCACAGAATATTATGCAATCATTAAAATTATAAAATAAAAATCTAATTATGTAGAAAGGTGCCTCACAACAACATATAAAGTAAAATTCCTTGGGGAGATGAAATGCTTAGAAAAAATATTTTTAAAAGATTAGGAAAATATAACAAAATATAAGTAAATATTGCTAGATGATAGAATTACCAGTTACTTTTGTTTTCTTCTTTTTGGTTACCTATTTCTAAATTCTACATATCTTTTGTAATAAGAAACATTAAAGTTATTTTAAATATTTTAAATATACAAAAAAAGAACTGAAATAAGTACGAAGAGATGTAGATTAAACGCAGTTTTATTTCTTCTCTATGAAGCTCATTAATTATGTTTATTTCAGTTAAAAAATAAATTTGCAATAGTAACCTTATCTGACATCAGCATAATAAAAGTCTTATAAACCTCAAGAGTGAAAAGCACTCATGAAAAGTGAAGAAGTACCAAGAGTACTTATTTTAAGCAATTACAAGATTCCAGCATGTTCAATATGAAAACAAACCCAGGAGCTCAAAAAGAGAACATGCTATATCACATACAATGAATCTTAGAGGAAATTTTTTTAAATTTGTCATTGAGACCCATTTCTAAAATGAGTAAAAAGCAAATATATGCTGATGAGCCTAAGATACCTGTGACATCAAAATACTTGAGTCCAAGCTTCCCTTAGTATTTCTTGTCCAATCCATATCTTACAGAAATTACCTCTCTGGTCAAAATCATTCACTTTTATTCAATCTCTATGGGTTTCAGCCATCTATAGTAAAGATCAACCACTCAGAAACCATAGTCTTAAATATTTTTCAAAGGCATCAATAAATTTGGTGTGTAACATACAATTTCCAAATATACTGTCAGGATAGTATAGGAGACTCAAGGAATTAGTATATTTGTATAAGATGTTATAAAGTTGGTGGCTCTTTCTGCCTTTGTTATAATCCAAATTTGTTCTAAAAAAATTAACTAAGAAGAAAGAGAGGGGAAGGGAATAAGAAAGGGCACAAAACTATTTGCTAACTATACACACATACACATTCACTCACTCACTCACTCAAACTCAGCTCAAACTAAAGAGCAGATTAATTGTAATAAAGATCATCTTGCAGATTTTTTTGTAAAGGTATATATATACACACACACATATATATATAATATATATATACACACACACATATATATATGAATAAAGCTTTTTAATAACACTTCAAATTAATGAAAAATAAATTTTAAGTACTTTAAGTAGATAATAACACAAAAATTGACTTACTATAAATTTCTAAACCTTGTGGAAAGTACTTTGTATTCTAAATCCTATCCACTAATGCAAGTGTGAGGATGCATCTTATGGTCAACAGTGCTGATTTTTAATGAGGGATTTAAAAGGGTTGATTTAATTCCTAGATTTTTTTTTTAGTTCCACCTCATTACCAAGAAAGTTAATAGACGTGACACATCAGAAATCCTGGCTACTAAAGATGTTTTATCTAATCAACACTACTCTTTTCTAAGCTACTCAGAAAGAAAAACCCAACACCTGGATAAAGTCACACCGTCACAAATTACCCCAAAAGTTCACTGTGATATTCAAGCTTTATACACAAAGTCCCTTCCAGAGGATCAGAGCCAGAGAATGAATGAACATCGTCCCTTCCAGCTGCTGGAGACAGCAAAACCACAAAAAGTACCTACTTATGAGATTATTTTTCAGGGACATAAGAATATACTTTAAAAAGGTGCATCTCCAAAAACCTACAATAGAGGAATAATAAATATTTATATACTTAGAAAAGGGATATATTCAAAAACCTACAATAAAATGAATAATAAATATTTACATTCCAAGCCAAAAAACTCCACAGTCTAAAAAGAAACATTTGATGTTTTCATTTTTGAATACTTAAGCAAAATAATGATTACAATAATTTTAATCAAACTTAAAAGGTACACTTTATTACTTTGTTGATATATGCTATTCACCTTTGAAAAGGCAAACAAGAAGGAAAAACCCTTGAGGCATTTTTGTATTCTGACTTAACAATTATCTGAAAATTACCCCATCATTACCTGCTGATGAAGGATTCCATTCTAAATTCTTAACATTTTTGATTTTACAGGCATGTTATTTCAAAAGTCCTACCTGGAAAGAGACTGAGAAGACTAACTGGAGATTTGTTGGTTTCAATAGTTAGTTTGTGGCTTGCAGTTTTTGAAGGCTGGCCTGGTAAGCAGACTAATTTCAGGGGAAGTCTAAATTTACATTGGGTAACTCGAGGAATGCCTGAAATAGAAAGAGAGAAACAGAGATTCATAGATTTGACAAATAATTTGACCAAAAAAATTGTGCTACTAATAGTTTAAATAGCACTATATCTTAGTTTATATGTTTGCTACCTGCCCATTTCATTTAGCATAACTGCAATAACTGGAAGGCATGATGAACATTCATATTTTTATATTATTGTCAACAAGTACAAGGTAAAAATATAATCTTAAAAAGGAGCATAGGTGCAAGCTCTGCCCTTAACAGTAATACCATATTTTAAAAATCATCACAGTTGAGCACTATATAAAATATTACACAGTTATATTCAATTACTGAACTCTTTAAGACCTTCAAAGTTCTAGCCCTAATCTAAGGCTGTCAGCTAAAATGAGCAAAGAATATGAAATTTATATCAGAAAGACTATATGACCATATCTAATAATTTCTCTATCTCATAAATTTTTTAATCTTTAGCTTTTTTACTTATTGAAGATTGAAATTACAGTGAACAATTTGCAATAAATTATATGAGCATGAAAGGAGAATTTGGTCTACTGACATTCATGTCATTTCACACATTAATATCAAGAATATTATTTTCATATAAATTAAATTTTTCCCTATCCATTTAACTTTACATATCACTGTTAAGCAACATCTTGAAAGTCTTATATAGTCATTCAATTGTCAAATTTTTTCAGAAAGTACACAGGCATACTGAAATAGGTACCTGAATAAATAAGTAGCAATGAAGAGTTTTATGTGAGAATTCGAAGTTTTTAAAGATCATTCCTTTTAATGTTTTACAAAGAATAAAACTGAAACCAAAGTAAATTAGGCTCTCTACTTATAAATCAAGAAAAACAATTCTACAACTTTAGTTTTCTCTCCTTTTATACTAGGATTCTATTTTTGACTGAATAAGATAAAAGATAACATACAAAAACACGTATCTTTGTAAACTATTCTAGAGAAATGGAAAACTTAAAGTGTTTTACTCTACTTGATAGATTTACACAATAGTTCCTTTATTTCTTTATAGTGGAGTCAGAGAGCAGCTTTAAAATAGCAAAAGCAGAAGCAGTAAAGTTCAGAGACGTGATCCCAAAGTAGGATTCCTAGAATTAGCAATATGCATTTTGTTAATGCCAATTAGAGTTGTGTGGTTTACTCTACAACCAAGCTGGGAGTACACTTTTCAGTACTACTTATTCACTAGGATAGTGAAAGATCATCAACAATGGCAAGCATATTGATATATGAGGTCAATTAAATACTTTTTCAGAGCATGTGGAGCATATTTGTCATTCTCTTCAACATAATCTATTATCCATCAAATTTTACATAGCTCATTTTTTGCTCATAGTCAACAGATGTTAAATTCACTTCTCCTGGAATCCTAGATGCAAATTATAACTGGTGTCTCTTCAGAAAAATCCCAGGGTATTATTTCCTGACATTCTGTAAGGTTTTAGAGGCATGTGTATTTGTACTTTACAATGATGAAATGTTTTGACTCAAAATATTATGGTAACATGATCTAAGCTACTGCTCAAACCACAACTATCAATATCACCACAAAAAACATTACAAAGCATTATTTTTTCCAACTGCATATATACCATATATCCCTAAATTATGGAAATATATCTACTAATATGTTTCCTCTGCATTATATAAATTGCAGCCTCAATTAATAGGTACAGTCTGGAAAGAACAAGGAAACTGAAACCTATTTCCATTTCCTTCATTTTTAATGAATAGAGTAACAGGGGAAAAAAATGCTTCATCTTCTGACAATTCTGCACATGCACAAAGAGAAGCTATTTTTTATGTACTTTCAACCGAAGTCTGAGCTAACTGTTCAAACAAAGTTTGGCTGTAAATGTTCTTCTAAAACTATACTGCTAAAACTGTGGCTCTACTTCACTTGGACCAAGTACTGATTGAATTTGTGTTAAAAAAAAAACCATGATTAGCAACACTAGCTTTATGTTACTGAGTCCACATATTTGAAGATTATTACTCTAAAATTTCAACAACCTAGAGCTAAAGAAATTGTTGGTGTATGTAAGTTTTCAGAAATTAAAACAAATGGATTGCAAGCACTAATAAACCCAAGAAGGGAAATACATTATAACTCAATTCACAGTTCAGTTAAGTCAGTTAATGACAATATCACACACTAGGACAATGGTCTGCAGTTGCTCAGATTTGTAGAACCTCTCCAGAATTTCTTTTCTCTCCAGTAATTGTAAACCTATTTCAAAGGACATTTGGAAAACATTACTTTGAAAAATGAGGACACTCATACTTAATAAAATGATTATGGTTATTTTTTAAATGATGGCAACTTGAAAAGTTTTACCATTAGGGAGAAAAGAGAGAGTATGAAATTCTTTAGAAACCAGTTTAAGGAAACCATATCCTTAAAACGAAATTTTACAATGCCAGTATTTTATATTATTTTCCATTAAATTAAACCTAAGCATTTCAAAATATAATCTCTAGTATTTAGGCATGGGATTTATCAGAGGTACATTTCTTCTGAGATTCACATTTTCTTAAGAAACTTGAAATGCAAATTTAGCTACCAATTAGTCTTCAAGTTAGAACTGTATCTAAGAACCTGAAGCCAGAGACATGTAGAGGTATGTGTGAGTGTATGCTTATGTGCATCTGTAATAAGGAAGGAAAGAATTACATGCATTTAAAGACTTTCCAAGGTTCGTAGTAGGATAGCTTTCAACTTAGTTGAAAGAGCCTAACTGGTCCTACCTTTGCCTACCATCAGTGATATTTTCTCTGTGTAGTTGGTAAAACAGTCTCTATATCTGGCTTATTCAACTCTGAGTATTACTCTGAGAGAGAAGAAAACTTTGGTCACTTATAATACTCATTGGCCTACTTGTTCATCAGAGTAATTTTGTTCTACAGGTTTTTTTTTTTAAATATAATTACTTCTCCTTCAAACACTTCCCCTTCTAGCCTACTAGAGGAAATGGATAGTTGCAACTACTATGGTTTAATTAATCACAAAATTATTTAACATTTAGAGGGAAAATTCACATCAGAATCACTCCTGACAGAACAATTTTTCCAGGAAGAGAATTCTAATTACCCCTGGTACACCCGAGAGTCCAGTATCACTGTCAAGAGGGAAGCCAAAATGTGCTTTTAAAAAAAAGAAAAAAGAATTTATATATCAGAGTAGAATAACTATATCTATATATTACACATCTATATAATGCCTTTAGAACTCTTTCCAAGGGTCTGCTAGAGTCATTTCATATTGAAAACAAGGAACCCCAAAGCAGTAGCAATGTCTGGTAGCCAGAACTTCCTTGATCCCTTCCTGTTATGTCTGGCTCCGTACTGTGCTCCATCTGCAGTCATGTTTTACACTGCCCATGCCATGTAACTTTAATGCAGAAATAATGGAGACTAACTCTTATGGGACAACATAAAACCTCGTTTGCTTCTCTTTTTCCACATGTAAAAGCAGGGACTGCTTATCTGCAGTACAGCCTGCACAGATCAGGCCAATAAAATGGAACAGTCTTTGAAATGCGAAGCCTTGTGTGTAAGATCTAAGTGGCAACATATTATTTACTTGCCTACTAGGTGAAGCTGAATATTTCAACTCTACTCCTTGAAGCTTAATTAAAATTTTAAAATATATCACAAGAGACTATTAAAACCAGCTTTAGCTTTGCATTAAAATATTAAAATTTCAACATATTGTGATTTTTTTCTCATGGTTTCATATGAATTGATAGTAAGAGGGAATAAATTCCTTTCAATAATAACCTTTGCTGATTTTTTAAAACTCAGAACAAATCATTTAAATAATAATATGGTATTTTACAAAAATTACTGCAAAATCTTATCAGTTACTTGCAACCCTGCAAAGTAAAATATAAATATTCACTACCAATAATGTCATTTTTAATAACCCAAATTCTAATTTGACAAGTATACTTTATGTTATTATACTAAAAGCTTACTCTTATTAAAATATTTCTCATATAAATGTATTTTAACCTCCCTACACTATGCAACTCAGGTTGCTGGCACCACAAAACTATATGAGTAAATATGGCCATTATTTTAGAGTATTTTATTTAATTATTACCAATTAATTAGTATTATCTAATATTTATCTTAAAATGGCTAAGAAACTAAGACAAACCACCACACTAAGTTTGCATCTAGGAGAAAAAAATAATCAAAGTAGGGGGTACTTTTAGAGTGTCTGTCATGCATCCAGATACTGCACAATTCAGAGGTAAGTACTTGAACTCTGCTCTCAAAGAGCTCAAAATGTACTAGGGGAACCTAAGGAACGAACTTAATGAAATTCATATTATGATAAATATTATAGCAGAGTCATAAACAGAGGATTTGGGGAAAACAAAATGGTGACAGCACTGACCCAGGCAAGTTCAAGAGGTCAGACCCTTGATGACATTCTCCCATAAATTCTAAACAAGACAAGGGATCGGCCCCCAGAATTAGTACACATGGTATTCTGATCAGAAAGAGAGGTGAATCTGTTGGGGTATATAGAAAACAGAATTGTTCTAAATTCTGTTTTTTTGAATTCAGAATTTTTTCATTACTCTTTTTAAGTGAAGTAAGATAACAGAGCATACAGGTAAATCACCAATGACTTAACAGAAATAAGTTGTCAAAGACACCTTCGGTTTTTTTCAAAAAATCATTAGTTGCTTCTCATGACTCTACAACAACTAATAATGCTGGCTGTGAGTTACCATATGATCCAGCAATCCCACTCCTGTGCATATATCCAGAGAGAACTCTAATTCAAAAAGATACATGCACCCCAATGTTCATAGCAGCACTATTTACAATAGCCAAGACATGAAAGCAACCTAAATGTCCATTGACAGATGACTGGATTAAGAAGTTGTGGTATATTTATACAATGGAACACTACTCAGCCATAAAAAAGAAAAAATAATGCCATTTGCAGCAACATGGATGGAACTGGAGATCATCATTCTAAGTGAAGTAAGCCAGAAAGAGAAAGAAAAATATCATATAATGTCACTCATATGTGGAATCTAATAAAAAAGAAAAGAAAAAGAAAAAGAAAAAAGAGGACACTAATGAACTCATCTACAAAAGACACTCATAGACACAGTAAAAAATTTTACAGTTACCAGGGAAAGAGAGTGGGAAGGGATAAATTTGGGAGTTTGAGATTTGCCAAGGTTAAACAATACATATAAAAATAGATAAAAAAAAACAAATTTCTTCTGTGTAACACAGAGAACTATATTCAATATCTTATAATAACCTCTAATGAAATGAATATACATATATAAATGCATGACTGGGACATTATGTTCTACACCAGAAATTGACACACTGTAATTGACTATACTTTAATTTAAAAAAATAAAAATAAAAATAAAACAACTAATAATGAATGACAAGCCTCTGTAAGAGGAAACATCTATTATCTTCTCCATAGCCAGATCAAGGCACTGAATCACCCTAACAAGGCTACTATAGTTCAAACAGCAGTCCACAAGAAGAGTTCATTCATGGTATAATATCAATTCAGCTAACTGACCAAATTTCATTTCTGGCATTCATTTTGTTCTAAAGCATCTTTTCACTTACCATCAGGATTTCGATCTATCCATCCGAGGCAATGCAAAAAAAGGATAGGGGAGAAAGAATGCAACAAATTATCTGTCATAAAATTACAACACAAATTTAATACACATCGCTTAAATTTAAATGAAAATTTTTAAGATTCTCACAGATGATTTCAATAAGCCTCCAATAAAGATGAGTCAATTCACAATTGAAGAATATAACATGAGTAAATGCACTTCCATTCTCAGAAGTCCATGAGAGGGTGTTATTCCAGTGTAAATGTAGCAAAAGAGATAAACATATATGATCTAGCCAAAAGCAAACCAGACTGAATATGTAAATGACTTCAAGAACATTAAAGTAATTGGGGGGGGAATGTGAATGAATGGCTAAATATATATTAATATTCCAGTTAGTCTTGCTTATATTATAACTTAAGTCAGTAGACTACTATGGAGTAAGGTCTTTTTTTTTTTTTTTGGCTTGTCTTAGTATTCTTTTACTTTTATAGACTTGTTTTATTTTAATTTCTAATTAACTTTCAATCAATTAATGCCTACATTCTTTGGTTTAGTAATAATTTATAATCTTTTAAATTCTGTCTTTAGAAAAGCATAACAGCTAAAAATGGTATGTGCAAATATAAGCTCACAGAATGATTCTATAACTTTACAATATATTTTTAAGCCTTTTGTCCACTTGCTAGGTAATCCATTTCTCTATTTTAAATTCTATTTTCAACAGTATCACTATTTTCCTCGGAAATAAATGAAATAATTAGTTGAATTAAGACATCAACAGTCTACAACTGCATGTTCTAAGTGTAACAAGGATAAAAAGTATATAACGTCTATTATTGATTTCAATTAATCATAAATGATCTAGAGATTTTAGCCAAACATTTTCTATTTTTTATTTCACAACTCAAAATTAAAATAGCACTGAACATTTCAATGTTCTTTTCATAAGTATCCAACTAAAAAGTCCATCATTCCTTGATCCCTTATGGAAGTTATGCATTTCTTTCTGAAGCCAGCTTTCTCAAAGCCATTTAAACATAAAATATTTATGTTATCCCAAATTTTGAAAATATAGATAAATGATTAAAGTGATCATTTCTGGCTAAAAATGATTTTTTAAAATTATTTAAAGCAAAATAACTTACAAAGCAGAAGAAGCAGAGTCTGAAAACATGAACTACAGTTATAAAATCACCTCCAAGCATAGAGTTGTCAATGCATAAAACAGAAAATTCACTTAGACAAAATAAGAACTACAATTATTAAAAACATTGCTAGATAAACAAAGTGGACATCAACAGAGAGAAAGTAATATGAATAAGGCATCTCTGAAACTTTCTAAACTAAGAAAACAGAAATGCAACATTGCCGAAATACCCTATCAGTTACACTATGTTGAAACATTTTTTTAAAAAAAGCAATGACTTATTATTCTTATTCTATCAATCAACTAACTGTCAAACTGTTACTATGAAAAATTCACTACACAAATACACACACAAAAAAAAAACCTATAAAACTGAAGCCAACTAAGTTGAAATTTGTAATAATTGAATCTCAACTGGACTGAAGATAACATGACTTAATATGCCTTAATGTTAAAGTAACCCTATAATAGTCTTTTTCACTAATTCAGATGAGGCTTTTCTCTTTAGTTCAAATACATGAAGTCTGACTAGATACCATTCTTCTAGTAGGAATAAAAATATATCATATTTGCTATTAATTGAAGAGATAGAATCAAATATTATATATGGAAATCAGCTAAGTAAACTTATCACTGATTATTCATAACATACAAAAGTAATTTGGACATACGATTTGATTTAACACTAAGAAAGGGTATTTTTTCGTTTAATAATATTTTACAATGTATTTTCCCATCTTAAACACTTAAACATTTAACTTATAACTCCAATAATTTTAAAAAAGTGATTAGGCTTGTAAATTCATGAACAACTGTATGTTTACCTGTTGGTCTGGAATAAGAAACAACAGCATTTCCTTCCAATTCAGGTGGTGTATAACTTCCTTTCAGATAAACGGAAAAGCCTACTGTTCTAGTCATCTCTGGTGCTATAAGCAATGTAAAAATAATATGTTACATAATTTTAGACAATTATCATTAACAACAGTTAAAATTAGGTATATACTGCACAGCAGCTACTGTCTTAGGCACTTAACATCACACTTAAATGGCTTAACTCATTTAATCCTCACAACAGCCCTACAAAGTGAGTATTGTTATTGCCTCTGTTTCTTGGTGGATGAGAAAACTGGCCTCAGAGAGAGTAAGAAGCTTGCCCAAAGTCATACAGCTAATACTGAGCTGGGAATTGACTTCAAAACAAGGTACCTAACATTCCATATCACTTTCTTTTAACTCAGATGAACAGGCAGCATGAACAGAGAAAAATATCGACAAAGGGCAAGACAATTTCGAAGAGTGGAATAATATTTTATCCTGGCTAGAACACAGACTGCAGGGGGAAATGGAAGTGGGTGGATACTAATGTAACTTAGTTAAACTGCAGCAACTTAGCAGATTGTGCACAGCCTTCTATATTCATGTATTTGATCTCCAACCTGCGTTAGAGAGCTATAAGAGGTTTTTAACTGGAAAAACTAATTGTTTAGAATGTTTTAGACAGACAAATTAAGGTGTTGTGAAAAATTAGAAAATAAAGCGAGATATCACCTACAAGTTTAGCCTCAACCATTCAACCATTCACTCACTGATTCAACGAATCCTTGAGTTCCCACTATCTGCTGGGCACTCAGGTAAGGGTTGGTTACAGAAATGGAAAAAAGAGAGAGATGTTCTTGATTTCATGATTAAGACACAGGGTTCCCAGCTGAACAGTGGTAGTAAAACAAAGAAAGAAAAAGACTCACAGATAATTCAGAAATCATTTTAACAGAACTAATGACAACTTGGATATAAGTGGTAGGGGTTGAGAGACTTTATGCAAAGAAATTTTACTAAGAGTTGCCATTTATGACCTGTCTACTATTTTTAAGGCATTATTACAGGTATCTTACATAGATTCATTTTCTAATCAAATCCTCCAAAGAGCTCTGCAAGACAGGTATCATTATACCCTTTCTGCAGATTAAAAAAAATAAAAACAAAAACTAAGGCACCAAGTAATTACTCAAGTAGCTTGCCCAAGGTTACACATCGAGTGAGTGTTAGAGCCAGGATTCAAATTCAGGCCAGACTCCAAAGCCAGTATTCTTTCTTCAAACATTACTGATTCAGTAAATAGCTCACTAGAAAAACATCAATAAAAAAGCCTACCAAAATATAGTATTTAAGTACAATTACAGTCCATGTAGTTAAGAAAAGTGCTTGAAAATCTGTAATTACTTCAGTTCAACAACCATTCACTGAATGTCCAAACTTGATGTTTAGCGGGAAAATATAAGCAAAACAATACAAATGCTTATTTCAGGAAGACACCAGTCTCACTACTCAGATAAGAAATAAAGCCATGAAATAAACACACTAGTAAAAATTTTTTAGTTAAAGAAACCTCACACCATGATAGACTTCAAGACAAAACACAGCACTCACCCATAAATTCAAAGGTGAACTGATCACAAGTTAATACTAAAGGTGGTTGCACATAGACTGATAATTTGATCTTTTGCAATGCCACTTGATTCTGTAGTGTGATCTAAGGAAATAGAAATTGTTATTAATAGAAAATTGCATTATTTCCAAATTAATAGAATATCACAACTACTTTTAGAAAATCACTAGCAAATAATTAGGAAATATCTAAGAAAAAATGAGCTGTTACAGGTTATAAGTAGTAGATTAAATGTTCTACCCAGTTAGAAACTGGGTAAAAGAGTTGAATAGACTTTTCTCCAAGAACATGTACAAATAGCCAACAAGCACATGAAAAAATGTTCAATGTCGTTAACCACATGAAACACAAAGTAAATTCACAACAAGATACCACTACACATCCAATAAAACACTGTAATGAAAAGGTCAGAGAAGGAGTGAGGGTATAGCTCAAGTGGTAGAGTACATGCTTAGCATACACAAGCTCCTGGGTTCAATCCTCAGTACCTCCATTTTTTAAAAAAATTTAAATAAATAAACCTAATTACCTTCCCCTGCCAAAAAAAAAAAAAAGGACAGACAAAAACAGGTGTTAGCAAGAATGTGGAGAAACTAAAACCTTCATAAATTGCTGATAAATGCAAAATGGTATAGCTATTCAAGAAAACAGTTTGACAGTTTATTTTAATTAAACATAAATTTACCATTGAACCTCATAATTCTATGCCAAGAGAAATGAAACATAACGTCCACCCAAAAACTTGTACACATGTTCATAGCAGTACTATTCTTCTTTACAAGTATAGGTATGACATCATGAATTATTTATTTTATCCAATATCAGTACATTACCTTTTGCACAAGTTAATTACTCTCTAAAGATTTCCTTACTAGGTAGATATTTACTAGTTTACACACATACATATCAAAGCACTACATTTTCTTTTAAAGACTTAACATAAAAATATATGACATAACTAATTCTAGAAAATATCAAAGAATGGCACTATTGACTGCTGCATTTCTAAGCTGGCTGCAGTTCCAAACTGGTGCTCCTGGTTCATGATGCTAAGAAAACTCTCCCACTCCAATTAGAATCAAGAGCTAAGAACTCTGGGGTAACAGTTTGGCTGGGAAATAGGATGGGTATGAGTAGAGAAGGCCACAACTTCTCTCACTTCCCCTAAGGAAGAATGTCAATAGAATCCATCAGGCCCAAGGATCTTTTTTGGGCCACAGTTCTAGCGGCATCATTTTCAGAGTATCAAAGAAAAAGCTTAAAGATCTCTCTTTTATTGGGCACATTGTCTTTGAATTTTGTCTCCTAAAAGTCCCAGTCCCTTTGAATAGTCTCCTTTGGATGAGTTCATCCAAATGGCAAGCCAGATTTACCAGTCATCAGCCAGGTAGGGTTGCTAGACCAATTGAGTTACAATCTCTGGGGGTAGACCTGGCTATTGATATTTTTTTAAAGTTCCCCAGGTGATACTTATGTACAACTAGAGTTGATAAGCACTCTTCTATATGGCATCTTTGCTATAGAGAAGTTCAGTCTAGTTACCAGACTCTAGTATATGAGAGAGATACATTTCATTATTAACTGACATAATGCAAGGGCATACTTAATTTTTAAGAAAAGTCATTTTGAACTTTCTGTCAGGCGAAAGGAATGTATCAATTAACCCTTAATTATATATATATATATTTTACATACACATACACACATATTTTAGAGAGAAACAATATATAAGAACATACAACTGGCCGACAAACATTATACACACATAATTAGATTCAGTAAATGTCTTGTATTAGTTTTAAATGTTGTGGGTATTCTTTACAACTTAAAAATAAGCATAAAAATTTTGACTTGCACAGTGAAAGTTTTAAAGGACAACTATTGATGCAAATAAATACAATAAACACAGCAAATGAACAATGAATCGTCAATTTTCACTTTATAAGCCTTGGAAATACATGGGGGGATATCTGCATGCCACAAACAAAGCTTCCTTAATGATGTCTGACCATTATAAAAATCCCAATACCTTTTAAATAAAACCTTGATGGTAATTATGGGAAGAAGAAACTATGCATATGATATAGACAACATTCTTTCAAATAGCTATTCCACTAAATAAATAGAATACAATTTAAATATTTTATTATTAATAATAATAGGCTAGTCTGTACATAGAGTTTTAAATAAAATTAATAATATTAATAATAATCATTAGCAGCTTCTATATTCATGGAACCAATAAATTATTTATGTGCACTAACTCATCATTATCTTTACAATATTGTGAAACAGGTACTATCACTATATACCATTTTACATAAGAGAAAAATGTGGCTCACAGAGGCTAAATAATTAGCCCAAGGCCACTCTGATTATAAGTGGAAGAACCACAATTTAATTTCTGTCTGCCAGAATCCAGCGCCCATGCTCTTAATCAGCTTGTGGTTAAGTCTCAAAACAATTCTGCACATGAAAAAGTACCCCCATTTTACAGTTTTAAAATAGAGGTTCAGGGAAGCTAAATAACATGTCGAAGACCGTCAAGCCAATATGTGCAAGAGAGTTGAAAACTTGACCAGGAACATCTCGTGAGAGGTTGGTTTTAAAAATGAAAATGAAAAATCCTCAAAGTTGTAATAAGCCATTTATATGAGAGCCGATATTCTGACTCTGCCTGGCATAATAATGTGTACTTAGACAACAAATGCACAATTTTACATTGTTACAAGTGTTCACATTTAATTTAGATACAAGATCGATGGTGATAACTCTCATACACAGATTTTTTGAATCCCAACAATGGACTAGTCATTTTCAAATGTGATTCAAGAAGATGTGTGACGAAAATAACTACAGTAACAAAGAAGACTTGTGTTTGAGCCAAAAAAAGAGTTAAAGACTTGGCTAAATCATAAACCTCATATTTTAAGAGAAAAATAATTATAGAATATTATGGGGAAAATATAAAACATTAATAGGAGATTTTTCCATGATATTTTCCGCTTCTAACAAAATGAAATATGATCCTTAAGAAATATAATACCAAATTTTTATCCTAGATATATAAATATGACTCCAAAGGCCAGGTATGAACAACCACTCTGCCTTAGTTGCCTGGAATAGATGGTCACGCATCATGCACATATACTCAAGGTAGCCACATCTTCATTCACTTGGAACGGATGGAAAATTTTTCTCAATTAACAGGATTTATTATGATGGAAACTTGCATGGTTATATATCTTGGCTGCTGTTGTTACAAAAGGCTATAAGGAGTGATTTATAACATAAATTTGTATAGGAACTGTCAGGCAGAATCAGGAAGTCATGGTGTCTGCTATGTAAGTCCAGCTGATTTTGTGCAACCCTTGTATGTTGCATTCTTTCTCATGCTCTTATAAAGGCAGTAAGGAAGAGAGCTGTGGCTTAGTCATTCTCAAACATTGTTAAATTCCACTAATGAAAGAGAAGTTTCCAGCAGTATCATGCCATCATTTAAGGTGGCTATTACACATGAAGGCCTAAGAACTGCATGGAAGGGAAAGATTTATTTATTTATAGCAATAACTCGTAGTTGAGGGGAAAATTAGCATGAGCAATATTATCTGGATTAGGTATAGGATTTCTTTTTGCCATTTATAATAATGCGCTTCTGAATTATTATATGTATGTGTCTGAGCAATATCAGTAGATAGATATAAAAGAGATTTTCCTACACAAAAGTCTATAGATCATTCCTGGAACTCTGTAGGTTTTTTTTTTCTTAAATGTTTGATTTCTTGCCACTAATGCTTTTCCAGACTCAGAAGTATTAATGAGATAGAGCCTTTGATTGGATGGGGAGGGAAGGGAGACTGGGAAAAGACCACCCTTGTTTCCAGTGGCAAGAATCCAAAAAAATTAGCTTAGGAAACTGTTACAAGATTGGGCTCCCTTCAACTTCTACCAAAGATCCCCACACTTGGGCCACCCGCTGGGCCCAGTGTAAGCGAACACAATTGGTAAAGCCTGGTGCCCTGTCAAGCTCCTCCAAGGACAGCAACTCATAATCTAAAAAAATATAAAGCCCCGTCCAAGTTTTGACTTAGCGAATCGCCAAGATCCACAACTTTCCCTGGCTCCAACGTCTGGGCAGTGATAAATATTTTCAGCTTAATAATGTGCTGACTGATTACCACACTTTAATCTAAATGCCTTAAGAGGGTTCACACTGGAGTCCTAGTTCTAAAATTCTACAATGGCAGGACTAAAAATCTTAACCAAAACCACATCCTTCATACTCTATTTTTTGGGGACTATCAATTTGTCACTACTCTACTTTGTGGCTTCTTCATTTAGTATTTTCTTGCTATAAATACATCCATTTAAAGCTAATATTATGGCAGATAGATGACTGGGTATTCTTTTCAAACACACACATAATCACACATAGAAGAAAGATTATTAACATTCATATGATTCATGTATATGTATATATATATATATAATACTGAAATCAACTGGTCTATTATGAATGTGATGACACAATTCTTGTAGCATATTTAAATATTATTTCTAGAAAAAGACCATGAATCATACTACATATTTAAATAATGGCAAGAATAAGTTATAACAATTTTTGTATTATACACATATTGCTATAAATGCAATTATCAGTTTTATATTTGTAGGAAACAATAAAGATTATTTACCACCCAAGGCTAAGGAAAACTTATAAATTTCAAGTGTTTGGGTATTTCTTTTTTTTAAGTTGTTAAGCAAGAAATCTTTTTTTTAATTGAATAAATTTGATGTATAATATTGTATAAGTTTAAGATGTACAGAGCACTACTTTGATACATTTATATATTGTAATACGATTGCCAATGTAGTGATATTTATCACATTACATAATTATGGTACAATATTATCTATATTTATTATACTGTGCATTAGATCTCTATGGCTAGTTTACTATTCATTACAATTTGTAATGAACACCATCACTCTTAAACCCCTCTAATTCCCTGGTAACCACCATTTTACTCTGTTTTTCACAGGTTTAACTTTTTTATTCCCACATATAAGTGATATCATACAGTACTTGTCTTTGACTTATCTCACTTAGCATAATGTGCTCAAGATCCATCTATGCTGTTGTAAATGGAAGGATATCCTCCTTTCTCATAGTTGAATAATATTCCACTGTGTATATGTACCATCTTTTTAATCCATTCATTGATGGGCACTGTGTGCTATTTTGTGAATAATTCTGTGATAAATGTGAAAGTGTGTGTGTGTGTGTGTGTGTCTCCTGGAAATATTGTTTCCATTTCTTTTGGTTTATACTCACAAATGGAATTGCTGGATCACACTGTATATCTATTTTTAATTTTTTGAGGAACCTCCAATTGTTCTCCATAGTAGCTGTATCAACTTACATTCCTACCAACAGTTTATAAGGGTTCCCTTTTTACCACATCCTCACCAGCACCTGTTGTCTCTTGTCTTCTTGATGATAGCCATTCTAACAGGTAAGAAGTGATATCTCATGTGGTTTTGATTTGCATTTCCCTGACAATCAGTGATTTTGAACATCGTTTCATGTGTCTGTTGGCCATTTTGATTTGCTCTTTGGAAAAACACCTATTAGTTCTTCTGGCCACCAAGCATCTGTTTTACATTTCCATAAGCTATTTACAGGGTGACAGATGTGATAAAATGTGTGACATTGTTTTATACATCACAGTCTAGAACTATGGTACGATACCTTCACTGTGACTGAAGGGACAAGGTCAGTTCCCACTTCAACATCAGTAGCTTGCTGTAAACACAGAATTGAGAAGAGAAGGAAGGAAAGAATAGTTTCAATACAACATGTCAATGAATAAACACAGTGGGTGTGGTATATACTTCCTACCACCAAAACAGGGAAAAAACTATAAAGGATTTATCACTCTAATGACAGAATAAAAGAATCAGTGTGGCTTTTTGGATAGTTTTATTCAGAAAGTCATGAGCTAATATTTAAAAACCTACCAAAAAAGAGAAGAAAATTTGATGTACTTTATTATCAAACTACTTTATTGCCAAATTTCCTTAAAAGTTGAAACTAATTAATTCTATTAACTTGTTATTTATAGTATATAAAAGAAGGCCTCTGTGTATTTTGTTGATAAATATTATGCCATTCCTTTAGGTCCTTGTATTTTCAACTTGCCAAAGGTACACTTTATTCTGATTAATAATATGTAATTAATGATATAAAGATTGAGTGGCCTTGCACCTAGAAAATAAAACAAAAGTAGGAGTGTATTTTTTTTTACTAGCTCATATCATAAACTCTTTCAGTCTTTGACCATCAGCCTAGGTTACCTGGTACCACCACCTCTTAAAGAATTCAGAATATAAGAGAGAAAACACTTCCTTATAATTTATAACTTACTTTTAGAGTGGTAGATTGAGAGGAAAAATGCTCTATGACAGAATAAGATCAAGGTGTAACATATTTTCTAATAATACCCATATGAATTACTAAGGGAACAATTAAAATCATAAAGTCTCTATCCAACCAATGAATAAATCCATTGTACTTTAAGTTAACCTATTTGAAATTATTTTACTAAGAAAAACTAAGCCACTCCTAAGCAATGGGGATCACTATGATGTAATGGTCATCAGCATAATTAAGAGTTAAGAGATTCACATTCTATTTATGATTCCACAGGAAACTATATATGAATTCTGATCCAATTTCTCAATCAAGACGATAGTACAGTGATGCTTGTCTCTTCTATAAAAGACCCTATTCTAACACAAATTATATTATTTTTTTGGATGTGTGCTTTCATAATAATGATTGAAAATAAAATATTAAGCCAGGATTTTTTGCTCTAGTATTACCTAAAATCTATGAAATGTTTTACATTTAGCTGTCTACAGATCTAGAAGAGAAACCAACATCTCCTGTTTCCCACTCCTTTCAATCCATGTTTAAACACCTAGATATTTTAAGGACAACAGTCCTTTGGAAACATAAAATTATAGCTAGAGAGAAATGGCTATATGAAGACACTATGGCACCACAGCTACATGAATTGCTGGACTAATGTTTTCCAATGGGATGAATACGATACTCTCAAGAATCTCTTAAGAAGGAAAAAATAGTAAGACCGGGGAAATGAAGCTGGAAAGAGACACCCAGTTAAGAGGAAACAGCAGTCCAGGTTACCAATAGGGAAATATGTCTTACAGTACAGTGCTAAGATCAAAAGTTGCTGAAGAACAGAAAGGGAACTCCTCATTCCAAATAGCCCCTATGTTTAAGAGAACCTAGAAAAAAATTATATAAGTTGCCCAAAGGAAAAAAAGAATCATTTCCAAGGCAAGAAAATGTGTGTACATTTGTCAGCTAACTAAGCAGAAATGTTCCACTCAGACTACACCCTTCAGGTAGAGTGAGAAATGGTGTGTGCTGAGTATCCAATGTTTAAAACAGTGCCTCTACTATATGACTCAGATGGGTGAATGTTTCTTTCATATACAGTCCTACTTTTTTAAGTATACACAACTTACTATATACTACAGCAATGTCAATGTGATTTTTATCACAACTTGAGTTGGCTGTTTATATTAAGATTAATCTAAAAAACTTATGAAACTACTTACTGTATTATGCTTTGATATCTAAATATTGAAGTCATTTCCTAAGCAAAATTATATGACATGAACCCCAAATATAGTAAAACCAGTAAACTCAATCACTTATCAAAACTGATCAACTTTTGGTACAGATATAGATAAACTTCATAGATTCTGCCCAAACTGCAGGCAGTGAGACAAAACCAATCATAATTAAACAAGTGCTTACAGAAGACTAAACAAAGAGATGGGGTAACGTGACCAAGGACAGTCCCTTTTTCATCTGTCTTGTTTCTCAGCTTTATTTGTTCATTTATAGAGCAAATATACACTGAGCACCCAACTGTTTATTCTTAAACTACTCCCCAGCATAACAACCATAGTGTATTAAAGACTATAAATTATCAAACCCTGATCTATGAGTTTCATAAACATTATCTCATTGAACCTTCAACAAAAATCTACTGGTGTCAGTATTATTCATCTGGATTAGGATTATCTCAATACTCTAGTACTAAAAAAAGCTTAAAACCAAAAAAAAGGTAGATTCAGAGTAATGGTGAAAGCCCTTCTACCATTTCCCCTCCCATCCCTTTTTTTAAACAGAAATTCTGCCTGCAGAACTCCTTATTACACTAAGAGTCTAGAAGTGTTTTTTTTTTTCTAGAAACTAACAAACCCTAAAATTTGTTATCCTCCCTAAAGTTCCTATTTGGAGGCCTGGAATTTAAGCCAATACATTTTAATCCCAATTTATAAGAGAACACCACTATCATAAACCCTTTTAAAAGCTGCAAAAACACCTACAGATACTGAGTCAAAGTTAGAAGAAACCATAGCAGAGATTTTCAGGTCATCTTCTCTCTCAGTTATGGGCCAAACACCTGTAATTTAAAAAGAAAAAAAAACATATTTAATTATAAAGTAAAACTTACTGTATATAGTTGTTTTAAGGTGTTTCTATACCATATATCAAAAGACAACCTCATAAATACACTCACAAGTTGAAAAAACTGATGCATTACAGAGTGAAAAGCTTGATGCTAATTCTTTCCCCTCTACATTACTGTAAAGAAAAACTCTCTCTTTCTCCAAAGATGCTAGTTAAGGTGTGATCCATTGGCTGACCAGTATCAGGAATTTCAATGCTCTCTCCTTAGCTACTGGTAGAAGCCCAAAGAGTACAACCTTTTTGAAGGTACATTGGCTATAACTATCAAAATGTAAAATTCACCCCCAAAAATGTAAAATTCACATACCCTATGACCTAACAATTCTACTCCCAAGCATTTATCCAGTACTCCCAGACATGCCCAAGGAGGTTCTCTGCTGCTGAAGGTTATTAAAAACAAAAACAAAAACAACCTAAATCTCAATTATATTTCTATTAATAGAGAAATGATTAACTAAATTATGGTATATCCATATTGTGCAATGGTCCAAACCCAAAACTATAGATAAGAGTGCTTGTACATCTTTATACACTGACATGAAAAGATTTCCAAGACATGTTATTGATAAAAAAAAAAAAGCCAGATGTGGTACAGTGTATCTAATATGCATGTATTTGTGTAAAAATAATTATATAAACAGGAAAATATTCCTAAAGAATACATAAAAACTCTTAATAAAGGTTAGCTTTAATAATCTAGTGAAACTAAGAAATCTGGGGTTTACGCTTTCAGTACTATTTGAATTATTTTTACCATATTCATATTATTTTCACAACTTAAAAAGGGTATATAGTGCATAATGAAATATTATGAACACGTAAAAGACATCCTAAATTAAACAAGAAACATATATAATATGTACACATATATACATGTAGGTACATATGCATATATATATATATATATATATATGACAGATAACTGTCTGCCCACTTAACATCCATTCTTCCCTCCTTCTTTGTGGTAGAGCACTAATTCTGTTGAGACATTCACCTTCACCTCAAAAGTCACTGGTTTGGTCAAATCCAATTATGGTGATTTCATTCCCCTGACATTTTGCTATTTTAGGCATGAGCATGGACCTAATCCTGGCAGATGTGAGGTAAGGGAAGGTGGAAGTGGGGGTGCTGGAACATGCTTCTGGGAAAACTATTCCTCCCTAGTAAAAAGGCAGACTTAGGAGAAATATCTGTCTACTTCTTGGAAAACCATATTTGCACATAATGCCTGAAACTGCTGAAATCACCCTGTGACCCTGAGGGGAAATATTCCCCATACACTGAGGATGACTGACTGAAAATACAGAAAGCACTTGGATGATGTTACATGAATCAGCTGTCTCACAAAGAGAACTGCCTACAATTGCCACCAGGCATTCCCACCAATACTGCAATATTTGGAATAGGAATTTCCATAACTTAGTGAGAGTACAAAAGGCTATTCTTTGCCCACCCAGTAATGATTCCTCAGTTCTTCACTGAAAAAGAACCCAATTTTATTCAAAGCAACAAAGTGCTGAGCTAAAATGCTAAACTTCCCGGCCTCTTTTGCAGCTTTGAGTGGCTAGTGAGATGTGAGTAGAAGCTGTTCAGGGTGTGGCTTCCAGAAAAGATCCTTAAGGGAGCTGACTCAGCTGCAGATGTTAGGGCAGGAGTTCCAGAAGCCATCCTGGACCCTGGGTGAGAAGGAACTGGATTCCCTGATGACAGTGAAACTGCCAAATCAACCCTAGACTGCTCATCATTGGATTTCTCTTCCATGAGAAAGAAATAAACCTCTGCCTTGTTTAAGTCACCTTATTTGGGCATTCTGTTATGTGTAGCCAGACACAACCCTGAACAGTACATCTTTCAACAAGATCACCAAGTACAGAAGTTTCTATTACTCAATGGTAGAAGCAACTTAGTTATCCCAGACACATTTCAAATGGGGTGCAGATTTCCATTTATATGCCCATGTCTTAACGTCTCTCTTTCCCTTCCTGAAGACACAACTATGCTGTGTGGGAATTTACCTCAATATTGTACCCATTCCTTCATATCCACCCACCTAAGAACATATCAGCTGTCTAAATTATAAGGAAACTCTGTTTTTGAAAATGCCTACCGACAGACGTTGTTGACTACTGGTAACAGAAATGCTAGGCAGAATTCTCACTAATGAGTTGAGTATGAAAAGCTTCAAAATCCATGAGCCATACAGAAATTATTACTATAATTTCTTGATTACAACATACATTCCTCATATAACTTACACACATAAAATCAGCTTCAAAAACACTTTTATTACAATAGATAATATACACCATGTGTACAACAAAATGTATTCTTTAAATTGGCTTTAAATTTTGCTGCAATTCTTGCTTTGAAGAAATTTTTAAAAAGCTTTAAGTGCTGAACGTAACCCACAAGACTGTGAACTTTTTCTGCAGGTTAAAATCACTGTACTAAAATAGGTGGCATTTAAACGAATAACGAGGTCATCAAAAAGTTCAGAGTTTTAACTTCTCATAATCTTCTGTAATGAAATTATTTGGTACTTTTATATAATTACAGGTATTTTAATAAACAAATATACCACAATTTTACAAGTGTAGAGAGTACAAAATTTTTTCCATATATAGAAATAAAATACTTTTAAAGTCTCTCTTTTTTAAAAGATTCTCTTTGTTACTTTTTTAGGAATAAAACCAAACGATGGTGGCACAGAAGGAGCCAAGAACTTCAAATATTGACTTCGAGGTTTTGTAAATAATGAACTTCGCACCCAAGCCTATGGGTACATCCCTAGCTTAATTAGCAGTTATTTCAAGATACACAGAAGAATTAAGGTAATGACAAGTGAAACAGCCTAACCCTTCCACCCAAGGGCCTCACTATGGCCACCAAAAAATAAGTTTTAGTTTTAAGGAATTTTTCTGAGAAATGTTTTATATAATCAAGTATTAATCAAAATATCATTAGCACATTGTTTATGGAAAGGGCAAAATCTCAAGACACAAAATTTGGAGTGAAAAGCCACATTAAATTTATTTAATGAACTCCGGAAATTTCATGTTTTACATATATGTCACTCTTCCCCAATTACATTTTTAAATACAAAATGAGACTTGTAATTCCATTAATCCCAAAACACTAGTATCAAAAATGGAAAAATGTGTATATTGCATTATGACACATCTAATTTTAACCATTCTCTGTTTGATGGTGGGTGCTGACAACAAATAGGTTTTTAAATAATTCGAGGTACTTAAAAGACCTCGGTTTCACTGGTTTACTTTCAAAACTTTCTAAGAGAACTTGTCAAACCAAAGCATAATAACTTTATTTTAATATTCATATTTTTTAATATATTGTCTAAATTTCTCTGAATCCTTCTTCAAAATATAAACTCAAAAATACATAAATCTAGGAAAGTGATTGGACCAGGATTAAAATCGGCTCTGTTGTTTTGGTTGGCTTTTGATGCTCTGCTTCTTTTATTATTCCTACTTGTTTTAACATTTCTTTTATGTGAAAATAGTCCATATTTTTTCTCATTAAAAAAATACTTTTACCTGACCCTGAGAAGGGAACTTAAAGTAATGCTTTTCACATGTCCAACTCAAACTGCAGGATTGGTGTTTTGTTTCTCCTTTTAATTTACAATAAAATTATACCCTTGTGAATCCCAAAGTAAGATAATATTGAGTTATTCAAAACTCAGGAACTGAAAATATCATCAGCCTCTGAGTCATTAGAAATCAGCATACCGCAGGCTACACTCCATTTGGATGGCTAATTAACTACAAACATAAATTATATCGCTAGGCTGCAAATGACTACATTCTTAGCAACAAAGTGGTAACTCATGTCCTGCTTTGGTTTCTTTTAAAAGAAGCAACTAAAATTTTTTCAAGGATATTAGAAGTTAATAAATGACCACTCTGAATTTTAATGCTCCTCTAAAGGCTTAAAACCACTACCCAAAGAAACACTTATTCCTTTCTTAGAGTATAAAGAAAAAAACTAGATAGCACTGTCCCTGAAGCACACTAACAAAAGTACTATCTTAAATGGGACATACTTTTCAGAAGCTATAAAATACAAATTAAGCACAAAGACCTACCTAGTGTGTTAAAAAGCAATGCTGTTTTTACAAAAATAACTTTAATTAAGCCTGGGGAGAAAATTAACTAATATGTACAAAATAATATCTATACACAAAATAATATGAATTTTACAATGAATACTAAAATTAAATAATAAAAAGCTGCAAATGAGATACCTTGTGATTTGTTAACATCTTTGATGATTTTCTGAAGTTCTTTCAATTCTGTATCAAGTTCATCATAATTTAGTTCTCTAGATTCAACTTTTGGAGCTTGGAACAAAGAAGGGTCTGTCCCCAGGTATGAACACTGCAAGTGACCATCATCACTCAAAGTGACTATGACCCCCTTTAAATCACTACAATAAAGAGAAGAGAAAATCAAACATGATTAAAGTTTTCAGTGGATTTAGACTGGACCAACTAGATTTTTACTCAATTCAGCCTCAACATACCATTAAGAAAATGACTATATAATATATCTATTTCTAAAGTTGTACATCAAGGATTCAATTCCAATGTTTCAAACATGATTTGTATTTAAAAAGTACTCCCAATTACATTTCATCACATTACAATTCATCACATGAGGAACTTAATTGTTATCACAGACCTAACTACATGGCAAATCCTGCTCTAAGAGCTTTTTCAGGTACTGTATCATTTAATCCTCACTGCACCTCCCACTTGGCAGATTCATAATAAGCAGTGAACAACACATATGGAGCTACAATGGATCAAGAGCTGGACTGCTGGTTGGCCGAAGACCAGGGCTGAGGCAGAGGAGGGAAGACAGAACAATCCAGGGAAATGGAGGGAGCCCTGGGAGGCCTTGAAGAGAAATGTGCCCCTGCTCTTTTCCTTTTCCTTCTCTCTACCCTTAGAACTCATTTTTCTCCTCTTTCCCTGGGTTCACCCACCCTGACTCCTTTCACACACACTCCTACTCAAGTAGCTCTCTGGTCTGTTCTCTCTCCCCTTCACTCTTAGATAGAATTTACCCGTTTTCCCATTTAGTAGTTCTTTCTCCATCACTCTTCTCATCCTGATTATTGCTTCCCCCCCTCCAATTTTTTCCCTTTTCCTTCTCTCTTAGGCTCACTTATTTCTGTTATACTCTAGAAATTAATCATAATATGTAAGTTATAGACAATTTCAGCATAAAATGTTTAAAAATAAAATTTGTAAGTTTTTCTGAACTTGCTATAAAAAGTATTTGAGATGAACACTATTTGCTTCCTCTCTAGCTTGCCCAGAGAAAAATAAATTCAACATTGTCATAAGTCATTTTGAGCTGATACATAATAAATTTATCTTTGCTATGGTTTCCAATGGCCTTTGATTTTTTAAAAAGTTTTCAACGCTGTTCTAAAGGTTAAATATTAATCAAAAGCAATTTTAAAATTTTGAGCAAGAAAAGAACTTGAAAAAAATGTTGCTATTCACCTGAAGAAAAGGAAACAAGGTATATATAAGGGTCTAAGCATTATTCAAAACAAATAAGAATTTTTAAAACTTCCCAACTTTGGGTCACAGCAAGTGGTCAGCTCATTAACCTAAAAGCTTCACTTGGCTGAGAGTAGATACTACCATTACTCAATCCTTCCCATGAGGTGACCACCAGCAACCACTTTACCACCTGCCTTCAATATGATATGCTTATGTACACTTTCTCCAGGGCTTATACATAACCCTGGAATGTGACTGCAGAGAAATAAAAACTATATTGGTATCACTAATTTAACAGCTTGAAAACTGAAAAAAGGGAACTTGGGTTGTAGCTCTGACTCTGTCCCTAAGTAGCTGAGTCAACTTGGAGAAGTCTTCCTAAATGCTCTTATGTATAAAATGAGAAGGTGAAACGAGATGATCTTCAAAGGCCTTTAAGTTTTATGAACTGGTTCTGTAAGTTATCTCAGAAAATAAATACTCCCAAAATAAAATTATTGCTATCACCCCCATAGGATCTCTGGGCCTGATCCTTTCTTTGCAGGCAACTGAAGCCACCTAGTGGCCGTGGAAATCCCAGCTTCCAGTTCTGACAAGGCCTATTTCAAGAGGGCAAACCTCCATCCTCATTGAGTTGTGACTGTAGTCTGCTCCTCATTCCACCCAGACCTACTAAAGCCTAAGAATCCAATGAGTTCCAAGAAGATTCTAGGATGCTAAAGGGCAGAGCTTCTCAGATAATGCAGGGATCACTGGTTCCTTGAATCCAGAGGGTATTTCTATTTCATCTTCACTCTTCGAGTGGTCCATTATATTGGAAACCTAGCATGAGCCAGTACAAATATACCTCACTTCCAAATTTATTTCTTTGAATTGGATAGTTTATTATTGAATCAGTTTCACTCCAATGTTTTAGACAGCAAATAGCAACAATTTAGACACAGGGATTTAACTAAAAATTTATCTGAACCTATTAAGTTTCTGAGTTCAGATATGAAGAGTTTGAATAATAGTATACATGTATTTCCTCAGCCTCTCAAAAAAAAATTCTTTACAGGTATTTGAGGTATCCAAGTGGAAAACGGAGGAGTCGGGGTGTTCCCTCATTGAAAGAGCTTACCAGCAGTCACCAGAATGTCTTAACAGTAAATTACAAAACTTAAGCAATTTACCTTTTTTCTAATCAATGGTATCAGAGTCATTACATATAATTTAGATTATATAGATTTAGATCAGAAATTTAGACTATAGACAAATTCATTTAACATTGCATGTCTTATTCCACAGGAACATAAACACAAGCCCTAAAAACTTCAGACTAAATCAGTAAAATTTCTGTCTAAAACATCTATGATGGGACAGACACTTTGACACAGACCTATAGCACTACTTAATAAATAAGTAATGTCATCACTTGGTATCTTAAATGCAAAGGACAAATGTTAAAATATATTGTTGCTGAAGTTAAGCCCAGTTTAACTATAAAGCCCAAATTCAGTATAAAAGAAAAACACAATACAAATTTTTAATCTACTTAAAGAATGTTTTATTTAACAATAAATATTGTCCATGTGAGTTAATGTGTAAAATTTTGTGAGTGACAGAATTTTGTGTTGCAAGAAGCCATCAAGTAAATCAAGTATTGTGTACCCTATTACTTACATCTTTAAAGTGAAGTTAACATTGCCAAAATTAAGGTCTCTATATTGTTACTAGTCCTTGAAGCACATTAGCTAAACCAAGGCACCAGAATAATGTATTGTATGAAGAATCAAGGTCAAAATGTTATGTTCATAGGACATATAATAATTTTGTGATTTTTAACAATGGAGCATGAAATTAAACAACAGAGTTAGTTCAAGAATCTGAAAATAATCGTTTCATCACTCAGTAAGCAGATCCCTGCCTTAACAATACACTCAAACAAAATTCTAGATGGATTTTAAAAGTTAAATTTAAAAATATGAAACTACAAAAATATTTATCCACCCTTCGAATAGAAAGAACTTTTACTACAAGAAAGCAATAGAGGAAACTACAAAGGAAAAGATCTCTAAATTAAAGCACAAAAAAAAAATCTGAACCTGTTATATGCTTAAAAAAACACCATGGTAAAAAGAAAAAAAATGAAAGACAAACTGGAAAAACCTGGCAACTAACATAAAATACATAATTTAAGTTGAACCATATATAGTTATGGATACTCAATTGTTTTGACCTATAAAAACAATTTTATATGTTTCATCTAATATGTAAAGAACTTTTACAAATCAATGAAAATAAGAGTATATCCCAAAAGAAAAAGGTCAAAGGAAATGTACAATTCACTTGAATCAGTAACTTCAAAGTTAAGTAGTCTATGAAATTAAAACTTTTATCTATTTCTCTATTTCTGAGAAGGCTAATCTATAAAAGAGCAACCTGAAAATATTTGAAATACAGCTCAACAGGGACAGAAAATGAACAGTCTCTTTCATTTGCTAATACAATAAAACAAATGAATAATAGTTTTAAAAACAAATGAAAAGGAACATGAACTGTATCTAATGGTCTATTGTCCAGCCACATATTATGCAAAATAGAAATATTTTAAGTTAGCAAATTGCCAAAGTCTGGTTTTTATTACAATATGTAGACATTAGAAATCTTAAAAACTTAAATACTATTTATTGTACCCAATTTTTACTCTGCCTTAATAAGGAGCATATGATTTAAAGGCACTTTCCTTTAGCACAGCAGGCAGATTCAGTGCAGGCCGCCCTTCCTCAAACCCATCAGGCTGGACCCGGTCACTTGAACATATTTTGAGTCACTGCATTATCATTTATTTAAGATATGTTTATTGAGCATTTGCTACATAGAAGCTACAAATGCAAATAAGACATGGTGCTTACCCCATAAAAAAAATCCAGTCTAGCTGTAAAGGATAACCTTTAAAAAAAAAATACCAATTGCAATAGAACATGGTAGATGCTATAGCACAGTAGGAAGAGAGTACAGTGACCACACATGAGACAGCAGAGCAAGGCTTCACAGGGCAGAGGATGCAGAAGCTGGATCCTGACCTACAAGTAGATCCTCGGAGATGAAAAAAGTGGACAGACTGAAGGCAGAAGACTCTGACCTTGGTGAACTCGTTCCGTCTCATGACTTTAAATACCTTTTTTTTGTGCCAGCTCCCAGTTTATAACTCCAGACAGACCTCTTTCCGAAAGTCCAGCCATGTACATCCAGCAGTCTATGGGATATCTCCACTTGGAAGGCCAATATACATCTAAAGCTAGACATGGCTACAACTGAGTTCTGATTTTGGCTCTTCCCCTCCAACTCACACCTGTTCCCCCTGCAGCCTTTCATTTTCCCAAGACAAGGAGATATGTTATACATTCAGTGAAGCAAAGAAGCTCAAAGTGGCTGTATCAAAGAAAGTTCGGAGGGGCATTATGACAAGATGGGGCCAAGAAATGACACTGAGTTAAACTGTCCAGGCTCTTGTAAATTCTATTAAAATTTTAAATTGTATCCTTAAGCAATGGGAAATCACAAGAGGTTTTAAAGTAAAAAAATTAAAATTAAAATTAAAATTAAAAAATAAAGGAGTGAGAAGTAATACAATCAGATTCATCTTTGATAAAGATCTTTTCTGATTGCAATGTGGAGAGATCACTCTAGGTAGGGTTTGTACAGGAAGTCCAGGAAAGAATGATGAGAATGGAGAAAAGAGAACAGATCAAAACACATTTAGGAGACATTACCACATTATCTCATTTAATCCCCCCCACTAACCTTATGAGGAAGAGGTATTGCCTCCACTTTACAGAAAAATAGAAGGAAATGCAGAGAAGAGAAAATACTAGATTATGGTTACCACAAGGTAATAATCAGAGCTGCAGAAAGCTGCAGACTTTCT